TCCCTACAATTTCTAGCTATATCAGCAGATATTCTCCACCAAGAAAAGCTTTTTAACCATAATCTAAAAGCGATATCACCATGTAAGAACAGCTGACTTGGTCCTTATCCCAACAGCCACGCAATTGTGTCCTTAAATCTTTTGGTCCCATAAGAACTGTCTGCGCCTAAAAGGATTGTTATGAATTTAAAAGATTACGAGGGGCGACTTGATTTTTCCCTCCATGAGGGCTGGGGCAACCGCAAATGCTCCTCATCATCTCAGTACATTGATTCTTGGTTGCCAGAAACTTTGGAAAATTTCCTCAATCTTTTAGCATTTCATTAATGCAATATGGTTGTGGAACAGATGACAAAAATGGGGCTTTGGCTACGGACACACAAAAACTATATAAAAAAGACTATGGACTGAACTTCTTTCATTGATTGATGAATTCATGATGAAAATCCAGTACCATAAAACTTGATTTGGATACATCTCTAATACAGGATGTCTCTCTCTCTCTCTCTCTCTCATTGGCTTGTGAAATGCAACAAGAATATTGATTGTCTTCTTAGCCATATTTCAATCTATATAAAAATCTTCCTTGTCACCATTCTTTTTGCTTCTAAAAATTCCTAGGGTTCATATTAATTGTTGCAGCACTGAAAGAAGAATCTGACAACCTCATCTCTCATGATACAAAATGATATATAATATGAAAATGATATAATTACATATCACGTATAATTATAAATTTATAATATGATTTATCATTATATAATTAATTTTTTTCGTTTAAGTATTTATTTGTGATATTATATATATTTACTTATTTAATAATACATCATGGTTGTAAGTTTATAATTTTATGTAATATAATAACTACAACATTGACCATCAACTATGTGATTTAATAATATAGTTACATGTATTTTTAACTATTTAAAATTCAATTCTTAATTTATATATATCAAATAATAATAATAATAATAATAAGCATAGCATCGGCATACATAATCTTGTTTGGACATTTTCTTTTTAATTTGAATGACAATCCTACCCTTTGGGGGTATACGTGTTAATTTTCTCCCTTTCATTTGAAATATAGAAATTTAACTCAATGAGATAGTGAAGCTTGTTATCATGGGTGACGTGTAGGCATTACTAATCCACTATTGATGTGCTTGTCGATAGCTTATAAGAGTAAGCAGGATACATACACATACAGTGGGGTGTGCTTGTAGGTTTGAGGGAAGACAATAGAGGGAAAAGGAATGGCTGCTACCATCTCCTCCACCTTCCTCTCTGCTTCTCTACTTCTCCTCTGCCTTCTCTCTGCCTCGAGGAAGGGCTGTGTCGCCTTTGAGCAACAAGAATTAGCAGCTGAGACCCACCACCATACTCTCCTCGTCAGCTCTCTTCTTCCTTCATCTGTCTGCAATTCTTCAAAAGGTTAATTCCCTTCCTTTCTTTACTTCCTCAATTGATTAAGTGCTTTCTATGGTGTTATGGCTATTAGTACAATAATTAGGGATATTTTTTTCGCCTGAATAACTAATTAAGCTGTTTATAATTCTATTGCGCTCTTGATATGATTGATGATAAAGCTAAATATAGCCATAATCCCTGCTTCATGACTGTGGATTGGCCTTTTGGGGATTGTTTCTACAGGCAAATGGTGAAGCTAAAATCATTACTCATCCACTAAGTGAAAGAAGTATCCATTGTTTGAGAATCTATATATGGCACTCTCCTATCACTTTCAGCCCTAAAAAGACCCAACAAACTTAATTTACCTCATGCAATTGTTAAACCCATATGTTTCATATCTCTAAACCCCACTTGCTATAATTCAAATTTGCATATGTTTTTAAAGGAAAATGGTATATTTTGTGCACCTCTTAATTTGATGAATGATATTTAACAGAAAAAAGAAACAATTTTTTTCTCGTGAATGATATTCTCTTTTTCTATAAAAAAAATAGTCAGTGAATAAAGGTAGTATTGTGGGTATCTTAATCATTGAGAAGAAGACTAAGCAGAGTTCGGTACAATATTTCTTTTTTATTCTTAATTAATGTAAAATACACATCCACGGTCTTCTCCCTTTTCCAATCTCCTAGTTACTTTCATGATTCCAACTCAAAAGTAGAATAAGTAATAAGTAGCTTGATTTTTTTGTTTTAGCAAAACAAAGTACCGAATAAAATTAATAAGACTCCGTTGCGTGATTGTTGGATTTCAAATTGGGAAATTTCTATCTCTACCACAAAAATTTTTTTTTTTCATTTTTTTGAATAAAGGGAAATGTGGAGATTGGGGAAAATATAAAAATAAAGAAAAACAAAGAAAACATTAAATGGTTCTTTTCATTTTAAATCAAGCACCTAATGTACATTTAGAATTATTTAATTAACATGCATTTCTAAGACGAAGTTGTTTAAGAATCTTTGTAATCCACTCTCTCTAGCTTAATTAAGCATATTTAAAATAAAAAAATATTATAATTTGAACTATATTAAATTATATAGCACTTATTATTAAATAAGAGTTGTGTATTTTGATATTAGAGGCATTTTTCTTTAATAAATTATATTTTACAATTTAATGTAATTTAAATCATAAAATATATTTTTTTAAGATAAATATAAATTAAATCCATTGAATGCATTATATTACTTTTATTATATTAACTAACATATTAATTTCTGTACATTTCAGCTGCGGACAAAAAGTCGTCATCTTTGACAGTAATCCACAAGCATGGCCCATGCTCTCAACTCACTTCGGATGCTCCAACCCACGCGGAGGTCCTCCTCCATGACCAAGCTCGGGTCAACTCAATTCACTCAAGACTCGCCAAGACCCTCAACAACGTGAAAGAGACAGCCGCCACCAGCATTCCGGCCAAGGACGGAAGTATTTTGGGATCGGGCAATTACATCGTCACGGTGGGTCTCGGCACCCCAAAAAAGGACCTTTCCCTAATATTCGACACTGGAAGTGACCTCACCTGGACTCAATGCCAACCTTGCTTCGTACATTGTTATCAGCAGAAAGAACCCATATTCGATCCTACTCAGTCTAAATCATATCTCAACATTTCTTGTTCTTCCTCGATTTGTGGTTCTCTGTATTCTGCAACAGGTAATTTCA